CAGCTTCAATCTTGTAGGCTACCCACTTCGTTTCTTGTAGCCCTCGAAAGGGTTTTGGAGGTTGATGCCTCGGTGAACGTGAGTTGTTTGGCTTTCTTGTCCGCAGCAGCAGAAAGCATTTTCAAATGTTTGAATGAATCAAAGTGGGTCGTCACCGTCGACTTTTCTCTAATGCTCCAACACACAGTTGCACGGGGTGCAGAATAGTTTCCGCCCACTTTCGTGAAAGACATCGGGGTACTGCTTTGCCCGGTCTTTAGCAGAAATGTTCGTCGTGTGAGTTCCACACGTTCACTCTACAGTGTTGTTTACCTTCTGTGATGCGCGAGCTGATGACGTCACGTCATCATCATCACTACTTCACGTAAAGACGAGTTAACTTTTTTTCTCAACTTTGTGTGGAAAAATGCGGGGATTATGCGGCCTTTTGATAATAATGCGGCCTTTTAAAAATCTGCGCCATTTTGCTGATAATGCGGTAAATTTTTCTGGAGGGTCTAATAGTATACGTTCCTCAAAGCAGCTTTATCAGCCCCCCACTTAGTGCCTGCCAAGCACCTCATAACATTAAAACCCTTTTACATTTGCCTATTACTTTATCAATGGGAGTACTCCATGTGACTCTCTCGTCCAACCATATTCCCAGAAATGTAAATGTCTTCACTTTCTTTAGATCTTGTCCATAAAGTTTTAACCTAACCTCCTCACCTATCCTTTTCCTCGTAAAAAATAGAGTTTCAGTTTTTTCCACCGACAATCTAAACCCCCATGTCAGAGACCAGCTTTCAATTTCCGTAATGGCTTCCTGAATCTTAGCTACAATATATTTTACATTTCTACCCCTTTTCCAAATAGCTCCATCATCTGCAAAAAGTGATTTACCAATATCAGATCCTACTTGTGTATATATATCATTGATCATGATAGAAAATAAAAGAGGACTGATGACACTCCCCTGCGGGGTTCCATTTTCAACTTCATGCCTGCGAGAATATGACTTGCCAACTCGGACTCTGATGGCACGGCCAAACAAAAAATCCATAATCCAATTATATACATTACTTCCCAGACCCATAATGTCCAGTTTTATTAATAATCCTTCCTTCCACATCATATCGTAAGCTTTTTCCACATCAAAGAATACAGCTACAACACACTCCTTATTCGCTTGGGCTTTCCTGACTTCAGACTCCAGGCACAGCAGTGGATCTAAAGTACTCCGCCCTCTTCTAAACCCACTCTGATAAGGAGTCATTAGTTCATTTTTCTCAATGTAGTATGTTAGCCTTTCTGTTATCATTCTTTCCATAACTTTACACAAGTGTGATGTCAGAGCTATAGGTCTATAACTGCCTGGACTGGTTGGATCTTTCCCAGGTTTCCTAATAGGAATAATGACTGACTCTTTCCATATTATTGGCAGCTTCCCTTTCTCCCAGATCTTATTGTACATCTCCAGCAGCTTTCCTAATGCAAAATCACTTAATTTGGTCAACATTATATAACATACATTATCTTTCGCAGGAGCAGTCATTTTACACTTACTTAATGCTCTTGAATAGAGAAAGGTATATTTACAACACTCTGCGACGAATGTCTTTCTTCATATACATTAGGATGCTCATCTAACACTTCCTGCCTCCTGATCTTACCTTCTTCTGTCAAATTTTCCGAAGAATGAACTTTGACAAAATTTTCAGCTAGAATTTCTGCCTTCTCCAAAGCACCAGTGGCAACTTCCCCTCCAATCTCTAATACTGGCAGGTTACTCTGATGTCTTATTCCCCTCATCTTCTTAATCATTCCCCATACTTTATCTAATGGTGTAGTTCTCCCAATACTTGAAGAGAATCCTCTCCAACACTCCCTTTTTGCTCTTTTAACAATGTTCCTTACCTGAGCCTGTGCCTTTTTATATTCTAATAAATTATGTAATGAATGTGTCTTCCTTAGCTTTCCAAACAGCCTGATTTTGTTTCGGATTGCATCATTACAGTCTTTGTTCCACCACGGTACCATCTTAACACATTTACCAAGTTTCCCAGTTTTATTCCCAATAGTTTGATTAGCGCTTTTAATTATATTTCAAGTAAATTGCTCATTTATTTCATCAATACTTTCTGCCATATCAATCTGATCCAATTCATTATCGCACAATTTAGCAAACATCTCCCAATTTGCTTTAGAAAAAGTCCATCTCATGATACCGTCTAGCTCAACCACATGATTTATATCAAACTTGATTATAATGTAACAAAAGACCTCGGTTTAGGCCCTTTTAATTGAACCCTCAATAAGTTTTTTTCAACCTCAAAGGGTATTTTCTTTTTTAGGGCCGTAATCTTCCTTTTTTGAGTTTTTTTTTTTTCTTTTTTAATTTTTTTTTCCCCTTTTTTCACAGAAAACATCAAAATTTCCGTAGAAAGGATAAATTTTCCAATAAAGTCCCCATTCCTTAAAAATCACCCCTATTCAAACAGAACCAAAAAGAAAGAAAGTCAAAACTTTTTTTCCTTTTTGTAAAAGTTTGTTTCTTCTAAATTTTTATAGCCAACGTACTTCGAAAGGTTCATTCTTCTTTTTTAAAGTTGAGGGTTTTTGGAGACGCGAAAACGAAATTCACCGGGTTTTTTCCAAAACCCGGTACCACCCGTCTGGTTTTCGAAAACGTTTTTTTTTCGGTCTTTTGATTTCCCCGGGGTCCCCAAACCAAGGTTTTTGGTAAAACAAAAACGCCCCCACCCCCCTTTGTAAAACTTTGATTTAAACCCATCCCCAAACCAATGAAACGTTCCCACCGAATTTCAACCCCCCTTTTACAAAAACCCATTTTTTTTTTTTTGAACACCAACCCCCCCCCCTTTTTTTATGTCCAACCCCACCCGACCCCCCGTATTAAGGGGGGGTCCCCCCCCCCGAACCCGCCTTTTCCACCCCGGTCCTTTTTTTTCCCCCGGTTTTTTTTCCCCCCCTTTCCCCCCAAACCCCCGGTCTCTAATGTTTTTTTTCCCCCCAAAAAAAAACCCGGGTTTTTGTATTGTTTTCAAGAAAAAGTCTAAAAAATACCGACCCCCCCTTTTTTCTTTTTTTTTCCAGGTTGTTCCTTTTCTCTTTTTTTGTTTTTTTTTCCAAAGCTGAAAAATTTTTTGTTCATTTTCCCCGATCCCCCTGTTAAGAAAGGGGGGGTTCATCGTCGTTCGTACAAGAGAAGTTCTCAAAAGGGTTTGAGGGGTGTCCGGTTTCTTTTCGAGGTGTTTCCAAGTGTAGTCAACACACAACTATCCTCTCCTACGTAAATACATTATTCATGTTTACACACCGGAAATAAACCTTTTCACCACTTACAACGAAACGTTGTTTGTTTTTTTCTCCAGTTCTGCTTTTGTTATCACCTTCGTCGTCCCACTTAAAAACCCGCTGTTTCCTACTATTGGCAACTTTACTATGCACCTATAACCGATTTCGGGGGGTTTTACTACTAAGTGTCTAATACTTATCTAATTACCAAAAAGAAGTAAGACGTTACCTTACGATCTTCGGAATAACGTTTACCTGTTCTTAATTCTGATAATATAGTAATTTTCTTTTCGGTCTGCAATAAACATAAGTTCTTTTGTACCAGCTTTTGAGTAAACTGAAAGTTATTAACCCACCTCATATGACGATAATTTTGTCTCTATCTTTAATACCCGGTCCCTCCCCCTACACGGTTAGAAATAGTCTCTTCATTACAGATATCATCCGATTGTAAAAATTCTTTGTCAGCACTAAATCTTTATCACCCACAATCTCAAACCTAATTATTTTATTTTTAGGTCACAGGACTTAAAAATATTAGGTACATTATTTCAGTCTTATCTCCTTAATCTGTCAGAACGGTTCCTGCTTAACTTTATTATACCACACCACTAAAGATTACGTTGTATTATGTGTAACACCCCTCCCCTCTAGTGTCTAATGTGTTGCCTGTCCACACACCCTCCTAAATTACCTCCCGTTTCCTTAATCAAACAAATTTATTACCCGTTCCTTACTGTTCCTGTTAATAGTTAAAATCTCTACCTTGTCTCAGACGCTAGCTGGATTGAGAAACATTGTTCCTTAGTCGAAGACCATCGTCAACCCTTCATAACCGTTTATATGTCATAACCCTCAACT